CTCATATCTGTTAAAAAATTAAATAGATAAGTTGAGATAAAACATGAACAGAAAGGAAAATAATTTGAACATATAGATATAAATTTGAACAAATAGAAAATAATTTAAACAAATAGTCAAATTTTAAATAGATAAAAAAAAAAGTCAACAGATAAATTAAGGGGTAAAATTGAAAACAAAATGTCTTCCAAAATAATAAAATGTACTTCTCACCATAAAATTTCACAAAGGGTGGACTTCTCACCAAAGAAAAATATTCATGGAAATTAATGCCTTGTACCCTTTCTAAATTGGACTTTTCAACAATTTTATCTAAAAAGAACTTAAATAATAAAATAGTCATGGGAATGTATATTTTCAAGAAATAGTAAACAAAACTAGTTTGAAATATTGGAAAAATAGTAAATCAACACCAAATCAAGCAATCTTTAAAACTACACGATTACTCATTAATTCTACAATTATTTTGATATTGTACATGAAAAGGCCCCCATATTTCAGGATTAATTTTACAATGCAGATGGAATGATAAGTTTTTAATTTTTTTTTCCTACTATATTTCAAAGGTGAAATTACAAGATAGTAGGAAATGGAGAATTTATTTATCAAAAGATGGGATGCAATAAAATGATAATTTAATTTAAGATATCAACTATAGCTAAAAAATTGTATGAAATAATTAAATAACTATGAGAAAACGACTGATATGGATTAAGTTATTTTTTTTAAAAAAAATTGCTTATGTAAGAAATTTTTTTATCATTTTTTTTACACTTAGCTTGTCGCCAAGGCTACCTAGGTGTTATGAGTTCAAACCACAAAAACAGTCTTTACATGAGAATAAGGTTCTGTACATTTGACCATCCCCAAATTCTATAACATTGAGAACTTTGTGCATGGAGACTCATTTCAACACTTACTTTGGCCCCCCTCGAATAAATTTTCTAGCTTTGTCCTTATTTTAAATTAACTCATCTATACCCATGAGTAGTCTAAGTAAACTATTTTCTTCAATTTCTCAACACTTGAAATGAATACAAAAGAATCAAAGTTGTCCAAATCACATGCTTTTAACACCATTAGTCCTCATTTGGGAACAAGTTATTCTAATAACTTTTTGGTTTTTTACGAAAAAATGTGCAGAAAAGTAAGGAGAGTGATGTGACAACTTATAGTGGCTTTTTGGCTAAAACATGTTGCCAAACGAGGCCTAGTCTTGTAATATGCCATAGATGACATTTTTTGAGGTTTGACATGAAAGCCTTAATTTAATATAATAATTATTTTCCTGATTTCAAAGAAAGCATAATAATATTATACTCCAAACTCACAAAATCATGCAGCAACAACACTTTTAAGGGTTTCATGATTAAAATCACTTTCTAACTCGTAAATGGTGAGAATAGTATACTAACATACAAGCTCATGATCTCATGCTAGGATTTCTCAAAAAGAAAGAGAAAGAGCAACATACATACTAGATTTAATCAACTAAATCAAATAAGCATGAATTATGGGTAACAACTATAAAATAGTACATATGATTTCTATCAAATAACCCAAACATGCTTCAAATATAGATGTGAGAACCCCTACACCAATCAAGCTTTAACTAGTTGAAAATGGAGAGAAGAGGTGGATAGAAGAAGAAAGTTCCAAGAACCTTGTGTTCTTCAATACAAGTCTTCAAATCCCACCAAATATCACCCTCTAGGCTTACTAATCACTCCCTAATAAAAGTGTATGGCTCATAAACACAAAAATTCTCACTAATTTTGTCATGTCCGCAACCCGCCCTAGAGGTTAGAGAGGTGACCGGCCAATAATCTTGGGTTACCGAAGGCCCAACTTGACAAATCACAAGATATTTAATAATATAATGGGGCCTTAAGTGGAAGCATTCTAATAATAACAATTTAGTCCATTGAGCAGTGCGTAAATGACATGGAAGAAACATACACATAACATTACTTAAACTTAGATAATTACATTAAGTACAAAGGTGCAACATTTATAAACTTAATTACAAAGTCATGAACCACCAAAACTTTTCAAAAGGAGGCAAAACAAAAGCCTCAACTCGAAGACGCCATCAATGAGGGCTTCACAAAATGGTCTTCATAAGCAAAACTCTAGGGTTGCTCTTCTTGTTGATTACTTGCATACATATAGGGGAAGGGGGTGAGCTAAAGCCCAATGAATGAGTAACACCAGAGTAAAGCCCAATGAATGAGTAAAGTGGTTAATGAATGAGTTCCAAGCATTCTCAAAACATTCTCAACATATTCATAACACATTTCAGAGATAAATAAAAGAGTTTTTATCAAAACATTCATAAATCAAACACAATATGTGGTACACCCAATAGAGCAGAACAGAACGGAACGACCATTATAGGTTGTGAACAAAACAGAACAACCATATTAGGTTGTGAACATAACAGAGATCTCTGTGAGCCAAGGCACATAAGAACGTCCCCCAATAGCTGGGACTCACTAAAGGATATGCCACAATAGATTAAACAAAATATGGAATACTCATTCATTCATAATAAAATACAATTTCATAAAACATTTCATATCATAGCATATTCAAAACTATTTATATGAAAATAACTTTACAAAGACATTACTCATAGTTGGCTCGAGTCCTGTATCACTCCTTAATAGTCTGACCTACATAATACACATACAAACATTGATGATGTGCAACAACAAATTGAACTTAACTTTTCTTTTCTAATTAACATGATTTATGTCGGTTTCTAGCTCTAATTAATTCCCAATTGGACTTAATGCATGCATAGGGATGTTTGGAGAGAGAAAAGAAAAATGAGCAAAATGTGGATTTTAAACTTGCTAAACCCGAACAACCACTGCTCGAGCAGTGAACCTACTTCCCCAGCAGTTTAGGCCTGCAAAACAAAATATTGGATTCCCCCCATATTCGCTCGAGCGGTTAACCTACTGCTCAAGCGGTCTGCAACTGCTCTGTTCAAAAATTTAGCAAGGTTAAGCTTCAAATTCTTGATTTCTAGGCTAGGGTTCATGCGTGGTTCAACCAAAAACATGTAAAGTCATTGTCAAACATGAGAATATGATCAATTTTTCAAATCATTTGCATCAAAGCCTCTTTTGATTTCAAGATTAGGACCAAAAACTCGATGAATATTATGTTTGTTTCAAAACTTTTCCCTTTTTCCTTCAAAACTTGAAATTGAAGTGTCAAAACTTTTGGAAATCAATGGTGCATGTGGTGATGAAGCTCAAACACATCCAAGATATCAAAAATCAAACTCAAAACAATGAAATTCCAAGTTATTTCCATATTTCTTCAACCTAGCTCAAATTCTTCATTCTATTTATAATTTCTTTCAATTTTTGGGCCTCTCTTTTCCTCTTCTCTTTTCTCTTGGTCTTTCTTGAGTTCCTTCTCTTCTCCAGCAAAATGAACTCTCAACTCTCTACTCTCAAACTCTAGAAAACTCTTTAACTCTCCTTCTATTTAATTGATTTGGATTAGATTAATTTACTAATTACCCATCAACTTAATTACTCCATTGTTAATCCTAATTAATTATGTTTAATCTTTAGTTTAAGCAATCTAATTAATCTCACTTAAGCCTTAATTTAATTATTTTTAATTTGTACTAATCTTACTTAATTTTTAATTAAACACCTATTAGGCTCTACTCATTAGACAAACTATTAAGCTCTTCACTTATATAGACATTCAGTTTTTTAGTTCAAACAAAATCCCCTAACAAATATATCTTACATATATAATGCAGATAAAAACTGAGAGTATCACTAAGATAAATGAATGCAAAAATGATATGCATGACTTGGCTATCACAAATTTAATAACACAAGATCAAACCAAGGTGTTTGATGAGTTTTCTAGAGAGAAGATGTGAAGAGCAATAGAGAAGGGAGAGAGAGAGGGGAGGACAATATCTTGTTTTCTCTCTCTAAGGCTCATTATGTTTGTCTTCAAAAGATGATCAATCAAGGAATAATTAACTTTAATCTACACTTGATCCAAAAGCCAAAAACTAATATAACTTTACAAAAACCAATCTCAACCCTCCAATTCAAATAAATTAAGATTATATAGGCCCAAAGTGTTTAGCACAACAAATAAATGAATCCTTTCCTCTTTCAATGATGTGTGAGAAAGGGTACAAAAGGTGTAAGATTTGTAAGTAAACAAAAGAGGAAATAAAGCATAAAGGGGGAGAGGGAGTGAGAAATCTGATTTTCACCCCCGTGGATGCCAAAAATTATGTAATTTTGTTTGTTCGTGTTTTGGAACCAAAACCCAACCCTTCTTCGGTATCAAATTTATACAGTTTCAATGCATTTTTTGTGCAATTAAAATTTTGATTTCTCATAATCAACTAAAATAATTTTAAAAACACATAATTATTATAGAAATAATAATTACTAGGTCTGCCGAGTTCATCTCTCAAATCTCAAGCTGGATCGAGCCCACATGTGCATGAAACGAGCCAATCAGTGCATTGAGATTCCCAATTCACCTGAATACAGCCCAATTAATCAGTAACACTTTGTTATCATTAAAACATCTAATATCAGGTTTGGAGAACCCACCTCTTGGAACAACGAGATAGTTGTTGCAATGCAATTCGCAATAAGCAATGAGATTCTAATTTAGCATGATTCATCCTATGATCGTACTAACATCGTCTACTGGCCCAGAAGGGTTTTTCCATTGGGTCTTGTCGGCTCGAGAATTAGTGCATGCAAACCGAGACAACCACATGTGCAAAAAATTAATCAACGGAGGTCTGAACTGAAATGAATAGGGAAACTTATGGGATTGATTATAATTATTTACACTTAACTGGGGCTCAATTACATTAATTAAAAGTTTAAATTTTCCGCGGTCATAACAAGTAGTGAAGTCTTTATGAATTGGGTGATTTTTCTTTGTAACACTTGTCTTTTTATTGCTAAAGATTTGATAATAATCTGCAGGATTTTAATGCAAAGCTTTCTGACTTTGGGCTTGCAAAGGATGGGCCTCTGGGAGATCAGACCCATGTATCAACACGGGTCATGGGCACTTATGGGTATGCAGCTCCGGAGTATGTAATGACCGGTTAGTCTTAACTATTATGATAGCAAATTCAAAGGAATCACAATTTATTCATACGAAGGAAGGAGACTGCCTTTCTAATGTATTTTGGTTAGAATCAAGTAGTTCACATGCTTTTGATCCTTGAAAACATGGGTCATGAGAAGAGGGAATATATTTTACTGTAATCTTCTTAGCTTGTTTGCTCGTGTACCCTACTTGCAGTACAAAGCTATGAAAGTCAACTGTCCATTTTTTAATTCCATTATCTCTGTTGTCTCTTCTGCTGTCTTCTCTTCAAAAGGTGTTAATAGTAGATTAGATTTAGGATTATATTTTTAATGTGAATAATTGTTTTGATAAGTAAAATTCTTAGTAGGCATAACACTATCTTCCCTTTTTTTAGTAATCCCAGTTTCTGTAAGTGGCTTATATCATTGATGTAGATCCTCGCTTGAATTGTTTTTCTGTAATATATATACAAATATTTATATTACTATAACTCCGACCAATGGTTGTTCAAAAACTAAGCCATATATCTGTTTTATCTGGACAGGGCATTTAACAGCACGGAGTGATGTTTATGGTTTTGGGGTAGTGTTACTGGAGATGCTGATTGGAAGGAAAGCAATGGACAAGAGCAGGCCAAGCCGAGAACATAATTTGGTTGAGTGGGCTCGTCCACTCTTAAACCATAATAAGAAGCTTCTGAGGATTTTAGACCCCAGAATGGAAGGGCAATACTCAAATCGAACTGCCCTAAAGGTTGCCAATTTAGCGTACCAATGCCTTAGCCAAAACCCTAAAGGGAGGCCCGTAATGAGTCAAGTAGTTGAAATACTTGAGACTGTTCAGACACAAGATCAGGGAAGCCGAGAAGAGGCAATGCTACAAAGTGGAGGTGGCAGTATAACCCTTTACGAAGTTCCAAAGGGCACACCTCATCCTTCAACAGAGAATAAGATAAGCCAAGTTAGAAGTGAAAGTGAAAGGGAAGCCGACGGTGTTCCTCGAAGGAACAAACCAGCAAATGGAAGGAGCAAGAGTGAGCCTCCAAAGGAGTGTGATCTGTATGGCACGTCTCCAGATCTCGGGCTAGATGAGGAATCTGAACCTAGAAACCGGATATGAATAATGTAAGTTGAATTGTTGATGATCTATCTACCAGCATATTAATTTCTTTTTCTTCTTTTTTCAATTCCTTGTAAAATTGTATGCATCTTTGGTATGAAAAGGTTTCATGGCTTGTTTCCTAGAAAAGCTGGTCTTGTGACTAAGAGAAAATGGGTACATAATAAGGGTGGGCAGTCGATATTTCGATCCGTCCAAACTGATTGAACCGAATCGATCCGTTGCATTTTAGACGGATGTATGATGACGAACAGACGGTTGCGAATTGTTTTTTTCCAATCTGCTTAGTTTTTGACGGATGACGGATTTGAAGTTCCTTTGACCGCAACCAGACCGCCAACTCACGAGCACCTCTAGTAATTTGTAAAATTTTGTGTTTTCAATTTATTTAGATATTATGCTTGTATTTTTAATTGAAAAAAAGGTTAGATATTCTATTGTGTTTTTAATTTGGAAATACTTCTATCAAATGACAAGTGTTGATATTTGGTATTTTTGTGTGGAAAATATAATGCTTAATTTTGTCATTTTAAAAAAAAAAATCAAATTAAATAGTTTTTGAATAAAAAAAAAAACAATGAAATAATTTGATAATGTTTGGTTTTGTTATATGTATTTATTATTAGTATTTGACAATTTATTTGATAATCTTTTGGTTATGTTGAATTGGATTGTAATCCAAAAAAAATATTGACAAGTTATATTATGTTCAAAATTTGTGAAAGTTTAAATTGCCAAACCGATGCACATTCATTCGTCAATCCACTCAATCCGCATCTATCAATTCGGTGAATGGATGAGGATTGATTTTTTTTCAATCCTCCAATTCGGAGGACGGATGGCGGATTGGAGATTTTCTGACCACAATTGAACCACCAACACCTATATATTATTAGGTTTTATGAAATAGTATGGCATTTTCGCTTGAAATAAGAAGTTTGTTAAATGTCATGCTGATCATGTGTTCAAATGATTTTGGATTTCAAGTATGCTTAAAAATGAATATTAAGTAACTGATGGTTTGATTTTGGGGCTGAATACTTCCGAGTACGATTATTATACACATTTGATATTATCAGCTTGATAACCTTGTGCTTGGATCTCCAGTTTTGAATTATTATGATATTGTAATCTTCTTGATTTTGTGTACTTAAGTGATTTCGGAAAAATAGTTTTAATGAAATAATCATATTTGGATCAGCAGTGTTGGAAACAAATATAATCTAGTTTTCTATTCGATAACTGGTTTGGCAATTCAAAAATAATCCATCTTTTTATCTTTTTATCTTTTTTTCATCACACCACCTCTCTACTTTTCTGAATATCTTTTCATAAAAAGACAAAAAGTGTACTTATTTAGGTCATCCCAGATAACTCCAAATAAGTTTGAAAAAATGAGTGAGTTGAAAACTTTTGGAAAGGTTGATTGGCTTTTGAAGTGTAAAAAAAGAGAAAAGCTAAAGATCATGAAAAAACTTTCATGAAAATGATCATAAAAGAATTATGACTCTTGGATTACCTTGATTAGTGTGTGGTGCTTTATTTTAAGTGTAATCCAAGAGTCATAAATCTTTCATGATCATTTTCATAAAAAAAAATTCATGATACCTAGTATTGCTCGTAAAAAAAAGGTGTTTGGCGACATTTGTATTTAGCTATTACATTGTTAAATGTTGCGTCTCACATTTGGTTCTTTTTCATGTTCACATTTAGTTCTGGCCCCTCCAAACTCTTGCACAAACCTATGTTTACATATATTTCAAGAATGCACAGCTACAGGTCCAAATCAAACACTACCTCTCGCTCGAGCGAACAACTCCTCGCTCGAGCGAAGAACCAAAATCCTGGACAGCAACACTTGGTTTCTAAACCCAACCAACCTGAACAAAACTGCTTAACACAACCTATAATTCCAAAAGAGAAAATAAGGAACAACAACAACAACCATTATACAATGACAGAATCTACGGAACCTAAGTCCGGATACAATAATCAAATGGGAAAAGACCGGGGTCGCTATACATTTGGTTCTTTTTCATGTTCACATTTAGTTCTGGCCCCTCCAAACTCTTGCACAAACCTATGTTTACATATACAACAATGATTCATCCTCCCTTTTGCTCCCACCCCCTTTGACCCCCTCTCTCTCTCATTGGTTACATTTTCTTTTTCTTTTTCTTTTTTTTCCTGCTCCTCCAATCACCACCCGCCACGTAGCAAAGGGTGGTTACATTTTCTTTTTCTTTTTCTTTTTTTTCCTGCTCCTCCAATCACCAACCGCCACGTAGCAAAGGGGGTGAGGGGGTGACCCCCAAAAGGGGGTCCCAAGCATTATTCTTACATATATTTGCAATCTTATAAAAATGTTTGTATTTTATGTAATGGCCTCCCTCAAACTCACTTTTAACACCCAAAACTTAAAAATAAATAAATAATAATAATTAAAAAAAATTACTTTATGTAAAGTTTGTCTCAAAATGTATCATGTAACCGACCTTCAAAAAATTATTTTAGGAATATGGTTTATTTGTTTGGTGTGAAATAAAATTAGAAAAAAAAAGGCCTAAATTTAGACTAGTCTCTTAAATTTTTTTATTAAGTTAATTGTCCTACATTAAATTATATTTTAATAATAATTTAATTTTTTTGAACTTACTCTAACCCATCAAGATTTTTGACTCCACCCTGAATGTGTGTGAATGTTGATCTCTCTTGATTCGGGCTTGTGTGCCCATTTGGACTTATTTGTACTCAATGATTGCCGACTTTAAAAAATAATAATAAAAAAACAATGATTGCCGACTTTAAAAAATAATAATAAAAAAAACTCCATAGTATAAGTTATTTAACAAAATGGACTTTAAGTTTTTTAATTTTATTAATTTAAATTTTATAGTTTAAATTTGTTTTCAATTTAAATCATTTGACAAATTTTTTTTAAAGTAAAATCAATGAAAAAAATTAATATTTTAATCATTAAACTCATAAAAAATATATTTCAGATATTTTATATATACTTAGATTAAATTTAATAACTGAATTTTTTTTCCATCAATTTTATTTAACAAAAATAATAACCCATAAATAATAAACCATGAGCGATATCCACAGCCGCTATCAAATCCAACGTCCATTATACTCTGTCTATCTTTAGTCTCTACATAACACAACACTAACTCAATTTACATAAAACAACCAACTACCACAATTCCATCCAACCAACTAATTGGTTACAAACACATAAACATAAAAACATCTCGTGTTCTTGCCAAGTCTCACAATACATTTTATCGGGCGCAAATTAGAGGAAAATTGAAATCTTTCTCAAAGCACCATGCTTTACCGGTGGCTACCGGAAGGGAACAAAACCTCCATATAACCCAATAGTATCCATGCTTTACCGAGCGGCAGCTGGAAAGAAACGAAACCTGTCTCAATGTGCCACGCTTTACCAGACCTTAAGCTGGAAGGAAACGGAACCTCAATCCACACTTTACCGAGAGCAAACCAAAAGGAAACAGAACCTATATTAATGCGCCACGCTTTACCCAACCCAAGTCAGAAGGATAGCAGAACCTCAACATAGCACATTTATCACCCTTCTCATTACGTAACTCATTAATCTAGATTACATAATCTAACTGTAACGCCTCGAAATAATAACCATAATTCATCCCATGACAATCATTAAATAATAATACAGTTCTGAATATAGTATCATTTCATTCATATGATTACATTGTACAAAAGGTAACACATGCAGTTATACATTCTTAAGTCTTAACCATGAATCTATAGCACGTGCCACAAGTTAATGGTATGAAATAAAAGTTAAACAGATATATAATTGCCCTAATGGCTACAACTTTCCAAGACGGTGTTTGGTTAAAACAAAAGTGAGTTTTCACTCAATACAGTTTAAGCCCTAGGCTTGTACAAAATAATTACACAAATAACAAAAAGAAGCTCTTGGCTCTAAGTCCTTCTAAGCTACTGCCTCGGCGGAGACATATCATCAGCACTTGAAAATGATTTTCTACATTAGGTGAGCCAAAACCTAGTAGAGATATTCTAACACAATATATGAATATTAACAAAGCTATAAGGTGAATGTATATGCAATGCTTGTGCCAAAACATTTTATATCTCTTTTGCAAAACCATGCAATGCCAGGTTTATATCACAATTCATGAAGTCATTTCCTTTACAAAAAAAAAAAAAAACAGAAAAAATGGCAGTGGATGCAACACTAGGAATCTCTAGGTACATATTTGCAAATAAGCTATACAAGCACTACCAATTGCCATTTTGACTAGTACTAACCGGAAGGCTCGGCACCTAACCGCGTGAGTTTTTGGACTTTCACTAAGGACACACAGGCCAACAATAATACCACAACCACACCCTTCATCCAGATTCACCAAGGTATTCACCCATTTTTTCTCAAAACAATATACATTTTCAATGTGTTAAATATGCAATAATGCTCAATGCAAATGGATGAAAAATTAGTTTCAATTCATCTAATCCTCATGTAATTTCTACAACAATCATAGTTATCATTCACCAATAGCCCAAAACAGGTATCTCTAAACAGATAGATAATTTCCAAGAAAGATAAATTTTCTAAAATTTCAAGATGGAAGTGATAATGCATATCCAACTCTACCAATATCATTATCATCATTCCAATTTCATAAAATCTAACATCATTTTCATTTCCTCTTTACAAAATCAAATAATCACATTTTAGGGAAAAATCTCATTTTCTTTATGAATCAATTCCAAGGATAAAAATCTTCCATTTATCACAACCTAACCACATTTCCAATTCCACAACCATTTTCAAGAATTTGTTTGAAAACCCCTATTTTGATTTCAAAACAAAACCCTAGATTTTTATCCAAAAATCTCCAAATCACAATATTATTTAGAAAACCAAATAACCAAGTTAAAAACTATACTTAAGTGTGGAGAAATCCCTACCTCAGAGCTAGAAGGCAAGAGAGAGAGTGAAGAAACCCCAACGAAGCCAAAAATCAACTTTGCTCCGATCAAATGAAAGCTCTAGGCGAGCTCTACCTTTTTATCAAAGGGACTAGGGTATAGAGATTAATGAATGATTGTGTATTTGAAGGTTTAAAGATGGGTTTTAGAGAGAGAGAGTGAGAGAGTACATTTAGGTTTTGGAATGTTTAGAAAGGGAGAGAGAGGTGAGAAAATGACTCAAAAAGTGACTTTCTTGGACTGATATATGCGCAGACTGCTCAAGTGCATGAATGGTCGCTCAAGCCACCAGATACAAACAAAGACACCACTTGAGCGCAAGAATGGTCGCTCGAGCGCACAATGCACCCCTCCCAATAGTTCAGACCTATAAAAGTTCGCTCGAGCACAGATATCAAACTCTCAGTAGTTTTGTAGACCATAAAAGA